AAAATGAAGAAAACGAGTTAGAAAATATTTTACCCAAGAAGCTTTGGTGAAGAATTGCTCTAAAAGTCACCTAGGGGCTGTGGAGAACAAGAGCTCGTGTGAAATTTGGGAATAATCCCGTCACTGGTCTATTTTTGAGCTTTAAAAATTACTGGGCAAAAATGCCCTTCGCGTTCGCGGGAAGGGGGCCGCGTTCGCGAAGGGTAGATGAGTCAAAGCATCGCGAACGCGAGATGCTAGTCGCGAACGCATAGAAGGATGGGGCTGGGTCCGGGATTTGCTTGTACGCGAACGCGAGATGGGGCTCGCGAATGCGGTGAAGGGGAAACCAAGGCTACGCGAACGCGGGGACTTGTCCGCGAACGCGAAGAAGGGAAAGCCCACTGGTACGCGAACGCGAGCTGAGTGCTGCGAACGCGAAGAAGCAATTATCTGAGCAAAAATTGCAGAAAAATCTGCTATCATTCTAAGTTTATAAACACCCCGAACACCTCCGAAAACACTCCCGAGCCCTCGGGGCTCCTAACCAATCACACACACTAACTCAACAACATCCTACGAACTTAACAGTGCGATCAAATCGCCAAAATAACATCATAAACGAGGAATCAAACCTCAAAATCATCATTTTTTTATTCGAACTTCATAAACATCAAACTTTAGATATTTAGGTCCGAAACACGTCAAATGACGTCCGATTTCGACCAAACTTTACAGAAAGCGCTTAACACATATTTAAGACAGGTATCGGGCTTCGGAACCAAAATACGAGCCCGATAACACAGTCTTTTAATCAATTTTCATTTCCATTTTCCTTAATAATTTCAGAAAAACAATTTTACAGAAAAATTCTTTTCTCGGGCTCTAGACCTCGGATTTCGACTCCGGGCACATGACCGAGTCCCATATTTTTCTACGGACCCTCCGGGACCGTCAAATTACGGGTCTGGGTCCGTTTACCAAAAATGTTGAACGAAGTCATCTTTAATCATTTTAAAGCAACATTTCGAAATTTTTCACAGAATTTAACATATAATCTTTCCGGCTACGTGCCCGGACTGCGCACGCAAATCGAGACAAGTAAAAAAGTGAGGTTTTCAAGGCCTCGAAAGCGCGGAATGAATGGGGAAACAGGTGATGACCCTTTGGGTCGTCACAGCGACAAGAGTTAAGAGGAAGTGTACATATATAAGGATTAAGGACTCATAAAGATATTATAAGGATGGTATAATTTGTTGACAAGTAATCTCCCCGCAATAAGAGAAAGTAAATGTTCAAGATTCAAACATTTCATTGCTAAGTTTTCTAAGTTTTAAACATGGTAAACATTTTAAATTATAGATGGTAGAAATGTTGATAGCAATTTGATGAACATAAATGGCTTACAAGTTCGTGGATGATGCAGAATTGACTTATTGCTCTGAGCAAAAGCTCTGGCCAACTTCCATATTGTAGCATGAGTCATTGTGATTAAGATGATATATGAATCGGAGTTTACATATATAGGTACTTGATCCTCAGTATTGTCTTTTTAATTTTTCGTTATTTAGGCTTGGCATTCGTATGGAAGATATGCCAAAATACGAACAACAGTTAGAGCTGAAGATTGCAAAGACACAATTAGAACAACTGAAAACAATAAGTTTTGATTGCTCATTCTCTTAGACCACATGAATGTTAGTGGTTATCTTACTTCTTCTTCTATAACTCTACTACTAAAAAATCAGTAAGATCGCATTTCGTTTTCTTTTATCCTAAGGTGCACTTTTGAATCTTCTTCTACTATCTATAAATACTCTTGCATATTATAAGAAAAAGTTGAAAAAGAATGATAAGATACTGAAAACAAGAATATATTGAATTGAGAAAGAAAACAATACTACTCACTATGGAAAAATAACAAAGTCTAGAGTATACCTTTAGTTCAAACTGAAAACTAATTAGCTAGAACTTTGAAACAAACTGATAACTTAGAAATAAACTTATTTAGCACGATCATACATAGAATCAAGCGAAGCTACTAGTCGCGGACTAATAGAGGTGAACGAAACATGACAACAATAAACACAAATAGCTCCAATGAAGAAAAACCAGTTCAACTGTTATAATTTATTCTAATACTCAAATTGGTTTTGAACATGTAAAAGCAATCAATTAGTTAGAATTGCAAATTGGTAAAGGTTTCGTACCTTATAACAATGAAATTGCTAACCAGAATGTTATCTTCCCTTTGCCTTGCAGCCTGCAACTTCCACTTGTTGGAGAATTTCTATACACAAATTGCCAGACCATGGTCACACAATTAACATCCAAAAATATCATTATGAAGTATACAATTTTATCTTAAAATTACAAGAATACACAAATTGCTACCTTAAGATACTTTTGCCCAAAAGGTAAGGTTAGCATAATAATTTCAATAAACACCACCTTCCAAGTACCTCTTACACTTTTCCTGAAAATTATATTTTTTTTGCACTAAAATACAACAACTTAATATGGGATAAAGTGGAAAAAGTTTCTTCGGATCCATGTTATTTTGGTAACCAAATGCATTGAAAGCTATTGAGAATAGTCTTGTTTATCACAAAGCATTGCAAAATTTATTCGACCACTAAGTCACTAACCTAGTACACTATAAGTTTTAGGATAGCCATAGGAAAGAAGACTAAAGCAAAAAACCATGTGCCTTCATTATCAGATATTAAAAATCTTATAGCATTGTTAGTTCTCTGGTCTAATAACGAAGTGATAACCTCTAAATTGTCAAGATTACTCTATCTATTCTATTACCAATTAAATCTCAAGTATGACAGTTTATAATAATGTTTAGTGAAGGATTTTGCTAATTGAAGAAAGAGAGAGAAGCTCCGCCTAATTCGGCGGAAGAATGGTCAACTTACCGAAGGTGATGGTGGCAGCGGATTGGTTGAGAGCTGGTTAGGCGGTGAGAGAGGGGAGACTGAAAAAAGAGAGGAGATGAGCGAAATAAAACCTAGCTGTACAGTTATTTTATTTTTTCCGACTACTGTAGTCGGAAGTTTCTTTTTTATTATGGTCAAATTTTGTTAATTTGTTTTTTATTTTAGTCGATTTTTTAATTAAAATTTTGATCATGAAATTTGTGCAGTTATTTAATTTTTCCGACTACTGTAGTCGAAAATTTCATTTTTATTTGAAGGAAAATTAAAAATTAATTTTTAAACATTAAGACTACTGTAGTCGGAAGATTGGTCAAATTTTTTTATTGACTTTGTCCCGATTATAATGGTCGGAAGAACTAATTCGCGGGATTTTGCGCCAAATTTTACGGCTACTACAGTCGAAAAGGCAGTCGCCTACAAATTAAAAGAAATATATACTTTTCCGACTACTGTAGCCGGAAAATTACGACTACTATTTTGTAGTCGGAATCTGTAGTCGGAAAATAGCATTTTTTTGGTAGTGTTTACTCTTAGATTGTTAAGTTCTGCCCCTCTGGTATGTGTACTGCTTAGGGATCCTTGAGATCTCTCTGAACTCTGGCATACTAGGGCTGGCCCTTCCACACTGCACATAATCAATCCCCATTTGAGAATTGGTCTTGGTGTGAGCACTGCCGGGATCCTTGAGATCCTTAGGGAACTCTGACACACCTGTGTCGCGCCCCCTTTTTTCCTCCCTTTTTACGGGGAAGAAGGTCCGGATTTCGACATTCAAGGGGGTAATAACTCATTTCCTTTTGGAAATTGCGTATTTTGAAGAGTCGCCACCTAACGGATTATGGTGCGTTAGCGCACCTACAGCGATTAACTCTTGGATTGGTTTGCATTACAAGAGAATTAGGGTAAGAGCTCGAAATAACCTTGAGGGGAAGGTGTTAGGCACCCCTCGCGGTCCACAATGGTGGGTCCCGGCCGAACTTATACTTACGAATTAGTCCATTAACAAATAAATAGTTGAAGCAAATAATTGCAAATAAAGCATGTTGGGCATTGTATAACTCAAATAATAAGACAAGAATTTAAACAAGTTGTGTGCGTAAAAAGGAAAGTAAAGTTTTCAAGTAAAGAGGATTTGGGAGAGAGGGGTCCTAGGTTGGTTAGCCTATAGGATCATATCATTACAATGCCCGATAATCACTCCTTAGAAAGGGGCTACGCGTGGCATTAGCGCACCGGTAATCCTATCCATATCTACCCGTCCCACCCCTTAATGGTTATTAGCGCGAGTGTTGGATAGCGATCTCTATTGCGTGCTGTTACCGTCCCTTCTTAATGATCCTGGAGGAAATTTAGGACCTCTACCTATAGGAGGTTCTAGACAGACCCTTAAGGTTTTAAAGAAGAAAATACTAAGGCGACAAGCAAGAACACATAAGACTTTGGCAAATAAAAGCATGAAATAGCAGATAAGCGCTCAAGTTCACCTCCACATATAATGCATGTAAAACAGCACGACTCATACACAAATAAAGGCCATATTGTTAATNGGGTCTTTAGGAAGAAACTTGATAATGATGGAACTGTTACAAGGAACAAGGCAAGGTTGGTAGTTCAAGGTTACAGCCAAGAGGAAGGAATAGACTATGATGAGACATTTGCTCCAGTTGCAAGACTAGAGGCAATCAGACTTCTCATAGCCTTTGCAGCACATATGGAATTCACTCTTCATCAAATGGATGTCAAAAGTGCCTTCCTGAATGGCTACTTAAAGGAAGAAGTGTTTGTGAAACAACCCCCAGGGTTTGAAAGCAAAGAATGTCCTGAACATGTGTACAAGCTGGACAAGGCTCTCTATGGACTCAAACAGGCACCAAGAGCATGGTATGAAAGACTGTCAAAGTTCCTACCGGAGCATGGGTATAAGAGAGGTAAAACAGATAGTACCTTATTCTTAAGGGAAAAAGGCAAGGACCTTCTTGTTGTACAAATTTATGTTGATGACATAATCTTTGGGGCCACAACTGACAAGCTAAGCAAAGATTTTGCAAAACTAATGGGAAGTGAGTTTGAAATGAGCATGATGGGTGAGCTTAACTTCTTCTTGGGGTTGCAGATCAAACAAAGCCAAAATGGAACCATGATTCATCAGCAGAAGTATACAAAAGAACTAATCAAGAAGTCTAAAATAGAGGATTCTAAAGAAATAGATACACCTATTGCAACTGCCACTAAATTAGATATTGATGAACCTGGTTCATCAGTTGATCAGAAGCTGTATAGGGGTATGATTGGTTCACTTTTGTATCTTACTGCTAGTAGACCTGACATTGTTTTCAGTGTAGGGCTATGTGCTCGTTTTCAAGCAAATCCAAAAGAGTCTCATTTGACAGCTGTCAAGAGGATATTGAGATATCTGAAAGGCACTACTGAATTGTGTCTTTGGTACCCTAAAGGTAGTAATTTCAATCTAGTAGGATATGCTGATGCTGATTATGCAGGTTTCCTAGTGGATAGAAAAAGCACCTCAGGTATGGCACACTTCCTTGGTTCATGTCTTGTATCATGGGCTACCAAGAAGCAAAATTCAGTAGCTCTATCTACTGCTGAAGCTGAGTATGTAGCTGCAGCTTCTTGTTGTGCTCAATTAGTATGGATCAAACAACAATTGGTAGATTTTGGAATTGAAGTGGGATGCATACCAATATTTTGTGATAACACTAGTGCTATAAGTATGACAAAGAACCATGTTCATCATAAAAGGACCAAGCACATAGATGTTAGACACCACTCTTGAGAGATAATTATGAGAAAGGATTAATCTCAATAGAATTCTGTGCTACTGATAAACAAATAGCTGACATCTTCACCAAAGCACTGAATAGGGAAAACTTTGAAAGGAACAGGTTGGAATTAGGGATGATTAAGATCACCTAAAAAGGAACCAGTTCAGAATGAAAAAAAATGAAATGAAAAAAAAAATCTCCAGAAATTCTTCACAATGACTACTCCTCAAGAAAATCCAGGAACTCGCCCACCAGTATCACCTATCACACCCTCATCTGCACCTCCTAGCGACAATCCTAAACCAAGATTTCGCCTGCAGAAAATGTTGGCAAGAAAGACTGTGGCTACTGGTGCTCTGAGAACGGATCTAAACGAAAAATTGAGAGCCAGCTAGAAAAAGGAGAGCTTTGAAAAGGAATCATCTGACTCCAGTTCTGAGTCTGAAGCATTTGTTTCTGCAAGCGATGGAGAAGAACGTGGGTCTTCTGACTTAGACAAGAATCAAGAAAACCCTAGGGAGGTAAATACATGCTATATTTTTTCTGATGTAGTTGAGAAGGTGGACAGTAGGTTTGTGTTGGTAGGTTCTGTGAGAGATGTAAGTGAGGGAGAGTCGAGTAAAAAGGGAAAGAAAAAGAAAGATAAAATTCTTGCCATTTGTGGAGGAACAGAGGAGAGTGGCAACAAGCCAGGGGGGAGTGAAACTAGGGAGACTGCTGAAGGCCTTGTACACCTGAGTGAACAACAAGATGAACCTGGTTCATCTGTGGAAGAAACCTTAGCTGACATTCTGAAGAAGGTAGGGGAAAGTTATGATCCCAAGAAGCGCAAAGCTTCTTCTCAAAAGGCTCCAACTGCCTCTAAGCCAACAAAGAAGAGCAAGGTGTCATCTCCTAAGTCTACTGTCCCTCCAGTACCAAAAATGAAAGCTACTAGAAGCAGAGTAAAGCAAAGTGAGGACGAGTTGCAGAAAGCCTTAGAGGCAAGCAAGAAAAGGAAGAAGGAAAAGCGAAAAGCTAAAGTTGTGGAAAGTTCTGTGGCTGCAGAAGAAGAGGAGGAGGAGATAGAATTGGTCCATCAGGAAAGAGGTACAACTGAGGAGGTTCCCACTCCTACACCAAAAAGATCCAAGACTTCTACAATGAAGTCTTCAGAACCTATATCTGCTGAACCCTCTCCGGCTAAAAGAACTAGGTCTGCAGTCAAAGGAAAACAAGTGAAAGTTCCTGAAGAAGAAAAAGCATGGAGTGGAGAGGAAGAAGAAGAGGAATCTGAAAAAGAACAGGACATATTTGTCCTTTTTGGCAGGAGAAAAATACGGAAAGGAAGAATTCTGAAATATCTGGAGGAGCCAGGAATGAAAAGATTGGTTGATGCCCTGGATGCACAGGGGTGGAAGGACATGGTTCTTCAACTAGATGGCAGGCTGGCAAGGAAAGAGCTGATCGAGTTTATGGCAAATGCCACTGTGGTGAATGGGGTTGTTACAAATGTGGTGAGGGGAGTAGAGGTGCAGTTTGATGCACCTAAATTGGGCAGAATTCTAGACATACCCTGTGAGGGCTATGATGACTATACTAGGCAAAGGTGGCCTTGTCTAGATTCTCTCCCTTCTGCTCTCCAAATCACCAGAAATTTCTGTGATACCAAGTCTGCTGAAGAAGTGCCTGAGGCTAGGTTTGTGCAAAAGAGTGAGATGAAGCCTGAGCACAAGGTGCTCTTTGAGTTTGTGAACAAGTGTTTGCTGCCCAAACAGGAGAGAAGGCACACTGCGATTATATGGACCTGGTCCTTCTGGAGTGTCTTGTGAGAGGAAAGCAGATTAACTGGCATGCTTTCATTGTCAAGCTGCTGGATAGAGTCATCAATGGCTCCAAGGCTCATGCCACACCTTATGGGTTTATACTGACAACTGTCTTGGCCAAGTTAGATGTGCCATTGAAAAAGTGGGAGATGGCCTCCAGCAAAGAGCACTTTGGAATCAAAACTCTGCAGGCTTGTGACTATCTGCTAAGTGTAACCCCAGTTGAACCTGGTTCATCCTTGAAGACTCCTGTGAACAGCAAAGTTAGGGCATTGGTTCTAAAGTGTGAAACAAAAGATGCAGAAATTGCTAGGCTCCAGGCTCGTATTACTGAACTAGAAAGTGAAAGAAATGGCCTCAAAGCTGAGCTAGCAAAGGAAAAGGAAAAAAGTGAAGGGATGCTCCAAACAATGCTCAATCTTCTTCAATCCCAACCCTCTAGTTCCTCCAAGCCCTAGAACCAGTATGGAAACTCCCTCAGTGA